TTTATTTGTTTGTTTATTTATTTTCTTGTTTATTTTTTTTTCTTTTTCTTTTTTTTTCTTTCTCTGAAAAGAAAAATATTTTGACTATTCAGGGGCACGAGTACAGGTCCAAGTAGTTAAAAGGAGTTTCTGCTACCCTTGGTCTATGTTCCCACCATCACATTCCGTAAACGCACGCCAAGCACAGAAAAAAAGGCACATTTTGACACGCATTCGCTGAACGAGTCAAAAGCGTGCAACATGCTTTCTGTACCATTATTGGTTAATTTTACACCAAACGTGTCCAGGAAAGGGGGGCGGGGGGGAATGGGACTCGTGTAGCAGAATTTGTTACAAAAACGTATTTTTCGCGTTTGTCGCACATGCAGGCGCCCATTGAAATCAATGGAGACGGGGGAAAGATGCCCACAAGCGGCACATGCGTCCCTGCCCACAATAAAGATGGCCACCACATGATTTTTGTGGGCAAAAAGGTGCCGTGAAATCTGGCACTTTTTTTTCCCAGAAAGAAAGAACTGGGTAAGGATATCGTCTTTATTTTACACCATTTTTGATCAAAACGAGCACTTAACCCTTTGCAGTGCGGGGGGTAGCTCCACTGCAAGGGTCAATTTATCATTTGCCTGGAGTTCTTCTTTAAAGTGAGGGGAATTTTCATCTTAGACAGTTGTCACCCAAACAGGTGTCCCAATTGGAAGAAATCCCACTCACTTCCTGCTCTGGTGACAACTCAGACATTTTCAGTTTGTTATTCCTTTCTGTTGTACTACCAATGGTCACGGGACAATGTGGTCAGTGGTTACCGGGAGGGAGAAACTACGCACTGGGGCCATAAATGGCAATAAAAGCTTGTCAGGTATTCTAACGCTTCCCAATTTTATTCAAAACTAGAAGAAAAAAAAAGTGTTGGCTATACACAAACTTAAAGGAGAACTATGAGGCGAGTGCTTTTCACTCACCTCATAGTTCTAGCCGACCTGTGACAATGAGACTGTCACAGGTCGGCTCAGTAGATCGGGAGGTGAGCGAACACATGCTGGCGTTCGCTCTCCTCTCAATCCTGTCACGGCTCTCTGCCATGACAGGGGAGGGGATGGATTCCCCCCTCCGATCCGCCAGCGCTGACTGGCGGAACGGACGGGGGAGGGGGCGGGTACAGCTGCCTCTGCCTCTAGATAGGCAGAGACCGCTGTCAGTCACGCAGCTGGGCAGAGCTACAGCTACAGCAAATCAACGAAAATCAATGGACTTAGCGGTTCGTCCGAATCTGAAATAACAAATTTAAAGGAGAACTATGGGGTCAGGGCTTTTCCCCATAGTTCTCCTTTAAATTTGTTATTTCAGATTCGGACGAACCGCTAAGTCCATTGATTTTCGTTGATTTGCTGTAGCTGTAGCTCTGCCCAGCTGCGTGACTGACAGCGGTCTCTGCCTATCTAGAGGCAGAGCCAGCTGTACTCGCCCCCTCCCCCGTCCGTTCCGCCAGTCAGTGCTGGCGGATCGGAGGGGGGAATCCATCCCCTCCCCTGTCACGGCAGAGAGCCGTGACAGGATGGAGAAGTGAGCGAACGCCGGCATGTGTTCGCTCACCGCCCGATCTACTGAGCCGACCTGTAACAGTCTCATTGTCACAGGTCGCCTAGAACTATGAGGTGAGTGAAAAGCACTCACCTCATAGTTCTCCATTAATGTATACTAAATCGATATTCGGGCATACATAAATTCGTTTTCAGAACACCCGGTGGCCATACTGGCACATGACGGTGACATCGCTCGAACATGCGGGTGCTGCCATCTCGGTGTATACCAAGATCTACTCCAAAATGGTGGTGCGCATATGCGCAGAACGCTCCTGCGGCCGATATGGCCGCCGCTCGTTCTGTGTTTTCAGTGTGCGGTTTCTGATTCGCAGGCTCATTGCCTCCGAATCCGAAACAGCATAAAAATGTGTTTCCTTTGACAAAATGAATGAAAATGTTTTTCGTTTTCATTTGTTTTGTCTGGAAACACATTTTTTTGTTGTGCACATGTCTAATGAAAACTGATCATTTAAAAAAAATGAACAGGGTAAAAACTGGACCCTGCAGGAAACAGGTAAGGTACATATACTGTAGTAGATGCTCCATGGTTGATCATAGAACATTGCTTATGTTATGTATGATGATCATATAACACGTTTTCTTTCTGATTGTCCTCAGGTGTGATGACCCTTCAAGCAGTTGTTGCCACGTCTAACAGCTCTCTAATCCAGCCAGGGTTTTCCGTGTTTCGGTTTGGTCGCCATGTCTATTTCTTTGGTCAGAAAGGTTGGCCGAAGAGGGCGTGCCCAACAGGCGTGTTCCTGGTGGACTTGAAAAAAAATGAGATGAAATTAAGACCTACTGCGTTCACCAAGGAATCTTGCTACCTCCCTCCGCTGAGGCACCCAGCTGTGACCAGCTTCCCTGAGAGCCCAGGAGGCGAAGTCAGTCAATATCTTATCCATGGTGGAAAGACGCCAAACAATGAACTGTCTCAAAAACTATACGTCATGTCTTTTGTTCCGTCGGCCAACAAGAAATCATTACTGTGCTGTTTAGAAAAAGATTTGGTTGGTGACATTCCCGAAGCTCGGTATGGTCATTCCATGAATGTCGTTTACAGCAGAGGCAAAAGCGCTGTGGTGCTGTTTGGTGGAAGATCTTACATACCTTTGAAGCAGAGGATTACGGAAAAATGGAACAGTGTCACTGACTGCCAGCCGTTCGTTTACCTGATTGACCTTCAGTTTGGCTGTTCTACCGCGTACACCATCAAAGAGATACAAGATGGGCTTTCTTTTCATGTTTCAGTATCAAGAAATGATACAGTCTACATAATAGGTGGTCATACACTTGAAAGTAACATGAGGTCTCCAAACATCTACAAGATTAAAGTAGACCTCCCGCTTGGAAGTCCAGCAATAACTTGCACAGTTTTAGAAGGTCGCGTCCCTGTCTCGAGTGCTATCGTGACTCATACTTGCCCAGATGAATTCCTGATTGTTGGTGGATATGAGTCTGACAGCCAGAAGAGAATGGCCTGTAACAAGGTCTCCATAAGTAATGACACCATAGACATCCAAGAAATGGAGACACCAGACTGGACAGGAGATGTTAAGCAAAGCAAGACTTGGTTTGGTGCCGATATGGGACATGGAGTTGTTCTCCTTGGAATTCCAGGAGACAACAAGAATCACAGCTCAGACAGTAACTTCTTCTTTTACATACTGAACCATGGTAGTGAGGAACATTTGATGCAGTCGTGTAGCCAAGGGTCATTGGAAGAGCAAGAAGACTCCATGCCACTGGAAGACTCAGAAGAGTTCAACTTCTATGGGGATGACACCTACAACGAAGATGACGAAGAGGACGAGTCGGAGGCGGGTTACTGGATCACATGTTGTGTTGGCTGTGATCTGAATGTGAACACCTGGGTCCCGTATTATTCCACAGAACTCAACAAACCAGCCATGATCTACTGCTCCAGTGATCAAGGACACTGGGTCCATGCCCAGTGTATGGATCTCTCAGAAAGCATGCTTGTCCATCTGTCTGAAAACAACGTCAAATATTTCTGCAGTTACCATTCTAAATTGGAAAGAGGTCTGCAAACACCCAAAAAGATGGTCCCTGTCTATAAGCCTTCAATGAAGAAAGTAGGTCGAAAAGCATCTATCAACAGAATGTCAACGGTGAAAAAATCTTTCCTCAGACGCTTGTTTGACTAAAGTCTTTGGTGTCTAAGTGATTAGAAAGGAGCTTGCTAACATTTAGGATTTGCTCGGGGTAAATAGATAGTGTACTGAGACAGTAAATAACTTTAAGACTATAGTGTAGCTTTGTTCCTCATCGGGAAACTATTTATCATGGCTTGTTTAGAAAGTACTGCCAGGTAATGCAGAACAATTATGACAGCTTTGACTTTAATTAGATAATAAAGTGAGCATCTAAAAGATGAAGTCTCATTAATTACCCCATTTTAAAGTACATAAAAATTATTTAAAAGTCTAGTAAAATATGAAAATTTTGCATACACGTCACGTAGTTCTAATTTGGTTTACTGGCATTTATCTCCTGCCTATGGTCAGGGCTGGATTAACGTAGGGACTACTGGAACGCCAGCTCCAGGCCCGCACCGCTGAAAATAGGCCTGGCCAGCCCGGATCACCTCGATACGCCCAATGGCAATCAGGGCCGGCCAGGCTTAACACAATTAGGCAGGGGTGCCAGCGGTCTCCCATCAGGCATATTAGGACCGACCTCATGGGGCTGCCTCTGCGGCTTCCTGTCCGACAGCACCGGGCTTATGATGCCCTTAATCTGGCCCTGCCTATGGTTGCCCCGTAGCTAAACCCCTACACTTTGTGGTTATTCACATCTTTTGCATTACTGTAAGTGGGAATTTGCAAGAAGATGAACTAGGGCTGGGAAGCTGTTTTAGAGGCATAGCAGGAGACTATGAACGGGGCCGGGGGGCACTGCAGATCGTTGTGGAGGGAGCTGGGGAGCAATTGCAGGTGGCTCTCTGCAGAGATGCTCCTTCCGATATCGCCTTATGACGTTTGTTTGAGCAGCGCCCGATCATGGTATGAAGAACATCCCAGAACAAGGCACTTGTGGTCACTTTGCAGAATGTTTTGATTTTGCATTACATATCAACTATAGACTTGGTGCCTCCACCACCATAAGTGGCACCCTAGGCAAGGGGTGGACAAATTAAAATGGAATTCATGAGCCAGTCTGTCAAGTCCAAGAGCAGGCAGGATTGATTAGGAGGCAGCAACTAGAGAAAACCTCAAAAGTTGAGCACCAGATGTAATTTTTAAGGAACATGGGCTTTCTTGTTTTGAACATAGTTGCATTGTTAAAGCACTCTATAAATTGGGTATTTTAATGATAATAATTGGTATAGTAATTAAAGTGACATTAAAGCCACTGCTCTCATTACACTTTGAGTGCAGGGTGCTGTGATGACTCCTCCCCATGGGGCGGGCCCATAACAACCTGGGCTCACAGGATGGTCTTACTCAGACCCCTTTTGAACTCTTCCAGGTTGAATGACGCTGTCCTCTTGAATTTGATACTTCTGGGAGTGTATCTCTCCGGTGTCCCCCACCATGCCCAGTGGTTTATCCAGCCAACCCCTTTGTCATTACAGAATGCAGAAGTGATGTAGGAGTTGGTGGGAAGAACCGCTGAGCATAATCTGACACTCCCAGAAGTGTCAAATTTTAAAGTGTCTTAGGAGGAAACTTCTCTACATTAGAGCAGCGTTCAGCAGGCAACAAGGGAAGTATTGACTTTCCTCTTTGCAGGTATAACTTTTATTCAAAATTTTCTTCATAACCGCAGCAGAGAAAATAAAAGAGAAACAGAAATCATTTGGCAGGAAAAAAACAGCTCCCATATATGTATTTTATTTGTGTATTTAGCTGTTTGCATGGAGTTCAGCTTTAATAATAAAAAGGTAATTGTACTCCAATGTTCCATTCACATTACATTTTTATTTTGCAACTAGAGAGTAAAGTGTATGTCAAGCCTAACAATAAACTTCTCTTATTTGCTCACTTTTGGTCCATTAAATATACCATTGAAAGCGTTTTGTGATATCTGTTCACTAAGAGCAAAAAAATAGCCTTTGATCCTACCAGAAATCCATTGAGATGTTAGCTTTTTATGCACTCTGCCTCTGCTGACTGTTATCGGTCAGATAACAGAGGGGAGAACACCTCCCCTCTATATCATGAAGATTAGAAGTCTATAATCTTAAAGAAGAACTCCAGGCAGTTTAAAGATTAAACCTTGCAGTGGGGCTACCCCCACACTACAAAGTTTAAGCGCTTGTTTTGGTCAAGCACTGATCCTCGGTCCCACAGCAGTCAGCTCTTACCTCTCTGCCACTCTGATAGTGGAATGTCCCTCGGCATTCTCATGTCCCATGAAAGTCAATGGAACCGTATTAGACGCTAGGACTTTAGCGGTACTTGGACTTAGCCCCTAGGCCAAAACAAGCACTTGACCCTTGCAGTCGCCCCAATGCAAGGGTCAATGTTTTTCAAAAGCCCGGAGTTCATCTTTAACATACTTCCTATCCCAGAATGGCAACAGTGCTCCTGCACAATACAGTGAGTAAGCGTTGCCACCTTTGGACAGGAAGTGTGTGAATACAAAGCCCAAAAAAATAATTCTAATCAAAAGATGGGTAAGCTGCAATATATTATACTTTTATCCTTGGGTTTGGATATGCTTTGAGAAGCTTGGAAGCCATGACCTAAAAACTGATAGATCATGACCACAGTAATGCAGGGGTTACATATTTTAGTGTATTTGAGACATTCTTCTGGCTCCTTTTTACCTGCTTACTGGAAAGTGCTTCATGAATGAATGTCTTCATGGTGTTTGCATGCAGACCACCCTTGGGAACGCCCACATAAGATGCTGAGCCTCCATAATTGAAACAACTGAAATCCAATGAATGAAAGGGTGGCCCAGGCACAGTTAGGCTGGGGAGGAAAGAGCTAGATGATACCACCAATAAAACAATGAAACAGGCTCTGCCTGACTTGCAGCTTGTAATGCACACTGTGAGAAGTTGATAGTGTTGTTGTTGGTTTCTTTTTAACAAATAATATGAAATATTTTAATTAGCAGAATATCATGACATCTCTCTTCTACTTATATTTTGTAGGGTCCTACAGGTAGCAAAAGTTGACCTCAGATCCCGACAAGAGTTTCTGCGTTTTGATTGGGTCGAAATGTTTACAAAGCCTTCTAATCTCAGGGATCTGCTAGTGGATTGAAAGGAGAACTCAAGAAAAAAATAAAAAATAACAAAACATATTATGTGTGTTGGATCTTTTGAGGATTAACTCCATCCTTGTATTTCAGTTTTGGATGGACAGTGACGGGATGGCCCATTCTCCAGGTTCTACTATCGGTAGACAGTTGGAATGCTCATATGCTCACCCCCTTCCCCCGTCCATTCACACAAAGCGTTACACTCTTTTCAGATGTAATAGAGAAAAAAGAAAGCCGAGGCTAAAGAGTATGTAAGCTGCTCAATTAGGCCAAGATAGGTCAACACAAAGGCCACAACCTGAGAGCCGGACTACAGCAAAGTCCATCATTCCTTGCAAAGTGTGTTGGTGAATACCAGTGTCCAGATGTGTCCCCTGCACTCCTTACATCGTTTAGGACCATACAGTAAATGGTGGTGCTCGCAGTAATGATCACGGATGGCGTCGTGCAATATTGCATCATTTGCATCAAGACTTGGTGATTGCCAGGCGGCTACTTGGACTTTGCACCCTGAGTCTTGGGCAAATTGGCCAATGGCACCACATTTTCAAAAAAGCACAGGCTTAAAAGCAGAGACACAAGGCAGGGCCAAATGTTGAGACAGAAGGCACAGAGAATTATCTTGCAAAACATTAGAGCTTCAGCTCTTTTTTTGGATTTGAGGGGGTCAACTGATTTTTTGGCAAAGTGAAGGAGGAAAAGAAGAATAGGGGTAGATGTGCCAGAAGGCAGAGCAGCAGGGGCAGCAAAAGCAAGACCAACAGGGAAAAGTATTTGGTCTTTTCTTAGTTAAATGTATATGAAATACATGAATTCAGTATATCAGTAGGGATGCACCTATAGCGTTTTTTCCATATCGGGTACGAGTACCGATATTTTGCTTTCGGTACTCACCGATACCGAGTACCTAAACGAGTGCTTTTGCTGACATAGAGCTGGCTTCCTGGGCAATTAGGAAGAAGGGTGGTGGGTAAGGACATGACGCCTGGTTTCCTGATTGCCCAGGAAGTCGTCTCCATGTTGTTTGGCCGGATCGACTGTGATTGGCCGGGAAACCGGCTTCCCAGCCAATCAGCAGCAAACCGGCTTCCTGGCCTATCAGGAAGCCAGGTGGTGAGTAATAACCCTTCAGGCTGATTGGCCGGGAAGCCGCCTCCATGTTTTCCTACGGCACTGCCGGTTACAGGAAATCTTCCTCTGACCGGAAGTTCTGGTATCAGGGAAGGTATTGGAACATTTGGGCTCTGGGAAAATATCAGTGGTCTAAACAGACCCCTGATATTTATCTTTTAAAATAGAAAAAGAGATTTTAAAAAACAGGCCTCAATCTTTTTTTCTGCAGCCCCTGTATGAGTTACTATGTCCACAATCATGAATGAACAGGAAGTGGTGTAGATGTAGAGCACTTCCTGTTCATTCATAATTGGGGGCACAGTAAACATGTCCTCAATTATTTACAAACACTCATCAAACAGCTGATCGTTAAGTGCTTGTAACCGCTCTCCATCCTGACTTCTTCGGCTGTGAAAGAGGCTGGCTGAGCGGAGGAGGAGAGATCAGCCTCCTGTGACACAGCTGGCTCCTCCCTGCCTCGCTCTCCATCTTGATTTGTTGTCACAGAAGTTTGAGCCGGGCGGTGTGGGAGGAGAGCTCAGCCTCCTGTGTCAGTGCTGACAGCGCTCTCCTTCCCGCCCTGCTCGGCCTCCTGACAATGTCTCTCCTCCCAGCTGGACGCTGCTCTGTGTCAGCGGGGACACAGTGCACCACCCAGCAAGGAGGAGAGAAACCAGGGATGCACTACAATTTCTGCCAAAAAATTGTACTTTTGGCATTTTGCCCAAAGTACCATTTTCGGCCAAAATGTTTCGGCGGTAGAAATATCAGTGCATCCCCAGTAACAAATATTAGGCCAAACATGAAGGGGAGATTT